ACTCGTGGCCTCCTCTAGGGTTGGTCTAGACAGATGGGAGAAAAAACCGATCTTATGATATTTTTTTTCCCTCACCTTCTACTACTGATTCACAATATTGACCAAAACAACAAGTTAGTCTGCCAAAAGGGCTAATCTTTTTTTATCAAAACCATATTATTGCGCAAGGCCCAATGGATGAACACAGGCCCTGAGGAAACAAGAGAGGATGAACCCAAAAGCGCGAGGGTGTGTGTGTTGAGGCCTGGTTCACGCCTGGCAATTTGGGGCTCCAGTGCATCTGACTTCGGTTCCTCGGCCCACCCTGCAGAATTCGACTCATCTCAGCTTCTCCTCTTCTCGTCGGCGCATGGCGCCGCCGCCGCCGCCGCCGATAGACGCGCCTCTGCGGCTGCCGCCTCTCCCGGCGGACACCATCTTGGAGATCTTGTCCCGCGTGGGCGACGCTACCGCCGTCGTCCGCTGCGCAGCCACCTGCAAAGCATGGCGCCGCCTCATCCTGGAACCGTCCTTCCTCTCCCGCCGTCGCGCCGGGCGCTCCGACCCCTCCCCTCTCCTCGGCTTCTTCTTCCTGGACACATCCCAGAAGCTGCCCCGTCGCCGCCTCTACCTCCGCCGCCCCACGCGCTTCCTCCCCCTCGGCCCCTCTCAGTCGCAGGCAACCGCCCTCCCCCTGTCCCACTTCTTGCCGAAGCCGGACGCGGCCGGCCTCAGCGGGTTCGCCCCCGTCGCGTCAGGCGCCGGCGGGCTCCTTGCCCTCCGCCGTTCCCCGGCCAGCTCGTGCGACCCCGTCAGGATCTGCGTCTGCGACCCCGTGGCAGGGACCTCCACCTTCCTCCCCCCTCTCCCGCCCACAACATCCCCCGAGAACATCGTCTTTCTCGACGCCGACGGCTCCTCGTTCCGCCTGCTTGCGGTGATGAACCGACCAATGGGGATCCGCCTGCGCGTCTTCTCCTCCCAGACCGGGCAGTGGGGCACGGCTGTGACGGCCCCACTTCCTGATAAGATGGTGATCCACCTCTGCTCCCGTGCCGTCGTCCACCGTGGTGCCGTCCACTGGATATGCGGCACCCGTGCCCTCCCGAATGCGGTGCACGCACTGGCCGTTCGCCCCGGCCAGGCCGATGTCTCGGTGTGCCGATTCGACCTTCCGCTGCGCGCAGGCATTCACCGCCTGAACCACGCCGCAGAAGCCGTTCGCCTGTTCAGTTCAGCTCAGGGGTGTCTCTCCTTGGTTCTTCTGGATGAACCTGTGATCTCCGTCTGGAACTTCAAAGACAATGGCGCTGATGGCAGGCCCTGGGAGCTTCACAAGACGGTACATCTGCCGTCGGTGTTGCCGTCGACAATCTCTGATCCTTCTGCAGGGTGGAGGCTCTCTGTCGTAGCATCGTGCGATCAGAGTGGCTCCTTGTTCTTGCGTGCTGTGGGCGAGGGCGGCCTTTTTGTGCTCAACCTGGAGACGGAGGTGATGTCGAGGGTACGCAACGACCACTGCGCCAAGTTCCTGTGCCCGTATGTGGCGAATCTGAGTTCTTGCCTGGGAGCCATGAAGAATTTCTGATGTTGGACTCAAAATTCAGGTTTCTGAACACACTAGCTTAATGCATATTAAGAGATGAGTATTCAGTTCTGTTTCGATGTATTCTACAGGTTTACTCTTATCTGTGATGTATCACCTGTTTATTTTCACATCTGGAGGCTTCATACTGATTTAAGTTTCAGTTTATTGTATGCGGCTTGCTTATTGTAGTCTTCATTTCTAATAATCAGTGTCCTCTACTGCTAAACTTGAATTTGGATATGATTACAGTTTGTATGTCCAGTGGGGTTCTATAATGTGAAACTGAAAGAAACAGGATTAAATTGCGCTTATTTTCTTCGATTCACTATGCCAATAATGCAATTTGCTGTTTCTTGGAAGGCAAGATTATAGTTATCTAAGCCAATGTGAACAATAGGAGAAATTTTATTGCTTTGCATTCTGAGGTGACAACTCTTGTGATCAGGTAGTAAAAGAAAAAAGAACACATAATAATGGGAATTTGCCAGATTATATGATTACTAGAGCTGACAGTTACATCATGTCTGAGAGTTAGTATGACACAATATACGTTCCATCATGTCTGGGAGTTAGTACTGTATACACAATATATGTGCACACAGTTCTCTACTGTATATCTAGATAAGCCAGTCCTCACTACTAGATTTCTCTGCACATGTGTGCTTCCATATTGTAAATAGCCAGACATCATCGTGAGTTGTATACGTCATGCAGTAGATATTTCCATACTGTAAAGTTCAATTAGAAATCTGTGGAGTTGATTTTGATGTCTCTAATTTGTTCAGAAATGGGAATTTTAATTTTTAACGAACATGCAAAGTATGATTGTGAAGCTGAGGTCAAAACCGAAGCCCTGAAAATAACAATATCATTCTCTCATATTAGTAATGTCTCGATATTCTATAAGCAAAATATCAGCCTTAAAAGCTAATTTTTTAACAGAAAAGTAAAAAAATGCAAAATTGATTTGACTGGACCACAACCATATGCACTAAGAGCTTCTTGTATTTATGTTTTTTTTACTTTTCTGTAATTTTTACTAATCTTCTAGTATTAATTAGCGTACTGATTTTATTATTGTTTCATTTTAAATTTCAAAATGTATATTCCCTTATTCAAGTTAACTGTGAAGAACAAACTCAACTGATTTTTTCATTAAGAAATTGTATCCTTTTTGTAACCCTAACTGTAGTACCTAAATCTTCAATAACCTTATTGACTCACCAAAAATGTTGATCCAGAGTTCTCCCTCCTTCTGGTCCGGCCAGATGAGAAGAACATACATGAACGAGTTCGGAGGAACATTTGTATGATTGTAATCTTACAAGAACTCCAAATTAGCAGTTTGTTTTATATAAGTAATTTTTTTTGTCAAGTTTGACCAAATTTAGAAATAAATATCAACATTACAATGCTAAATCAATACCATCAGATCCAAGTTGAAACATATTTCGTATTACATTTTATTTGATATTGTAGATGTTGATATTTTTAAATACAAGTTTAGTCAAATTTTATAAAAGTTTGGCCCTTTAAACGTCTTGCTAATGCCAAATCGCACTTGTATGCACTTGTGCCATCTTGTGGCTTGTTGTCACATGGCGTAACTCATCTCGCTGGAGCTCTGGCAGGATCCAATTTTTGGCAACTTCCTTTTATGTTAGAGCGTTGCTATGCGAACGATAAGACTGCGCCCTATTTACGGGTGACATGCTACGATCAGATGCAGTTGGCGAGCACTTGTACTCCGCTCGATTCCAGCACCGTCTGCATATAGGCCAAACTGTGGTGTGCACGGCAGTTTCGTTTATGTTAATATTCAGACTAAAACAAAAACAAAAAAACTGCAAAACACACAACACAAAAAACAGTTAAAGAAGAATCACGCTGACCCGTTGGACATAAGCCACTCTGTGTCTCCCTCCGTTTCAAAATATGTTTAAGTTGAAATGGAGGGAGCATATATTTTTTATGCGACTTTTTTCAGTTTGAATTTCGTTTGAAAATTTCAGACGAAAAAAATCCGAAATTTCCTAAAAACCGTTTCCCCAAAAATAAACCATAAAGTATTTCAAGACGAAGGGAGTACTTTATTGTTGGGCCAGTTGGTAGTTTTAATTCCTGCGCTCAAGTTTGAGCTGCGATGGAACCGGCCAGTCGGCCATGCATTTCTACGGTTCTACCTACCGTGTGACAATTTGGAAGATAGGCATTCATAACACACTACTTCCTCGAGTATTTAACAAAAAAACTACTCTATTTTATGGAACCGTGCCTACAAACTATCACTCTACAAATTTATGCCGAAAATTACCACTTTTTATCTAATCTTTGACTAAAAACTACCATGTCGGGAAAGTGCCCAATTCGCCTCTTCTAAACGCCTTTCTGACAGGATGAGCTCACCTGTCAGCATTAATCTTCTTCCTCCTCTCTCTCTGGCATTTCCTCAAACACTTCATGTGCACTCCGCCGCTCTGCCCCGCTCGTCCTCCCACACCGTCGCCCCGCAGCACCTCGTCAGCCCGCGCCGCCCCGTCCAGTTCCTCATCGGCGACCTCCCGCTCCGGATCCGGCTCCCACGCCCGCGACCAGTGCTGCGCCTCCACGCCGTCTTCCGCATCCCCGGCCTCCTCATCGCCGCTTCGCCCATCCCCGGCCACAGGTGCCCTCGCCGGAGCCAGCAGTCTCTGCCGCGCGCGGCCTCTCCCTCGCCCCGCCAGTGCCCTGCTCCAGCGTCGCCGCCGGATGCCTCAAGCTCCAGATCCGACCGACCTCGCCGCTCCCTTCGGCCTCCCGCAGCTGCCTGTTGCCGGCCATCCCCATGGTTCGAGGAGCCCAAGCCTTCATCTGCTCCTCTCACCCTGCGCCGGCCTCCACCAGCACCCATGGCCGCCGCTTGCTAGTCACCACCACAGCCGCTGCCCCCCTGCTTGCTGCTTCGACTTCATGCCCAAGCTTCGTTTTCGTCATGGACGTGGGGTAGCAGCACGGCGAAGGGTTTGACGACATGCCAGAGAGAGAGGAGGAAGAAGATTAATACTGACAGGTGGGCCCATCCTGTTAGAAAGGCGTTTAGAAGAGGCGAATTGGGCACTTTCCCGACATGGTAGTTTTTAGTCAAAGATTAGACAAAAAATGATAGTTTTCGGCATGAATTTGTAGAGTGGTAGTTTGTAGGCACGGTTCCATAAAATGTGGTAATTTTTTGTTAAATACTCCCCTTCGTCATTGTGAGCTCGTACCACCACCACTTGAGTTTCGGAGACAAGCGCACCTGGAGCACCACAGAGCTGCGCCACGTTATATGTGACCTCGTATCATCATGTATGTTGCCGCTCAGTACTGCTCTGCTGCTAAACACCAGGACCCTCCTCTCCACCTCTCTCTTTCTAGTTTCCAGTGAGCAGGCGCACGCGCACGTGGAGCGGCCATGGCGACCGCGGCAACTGCCGGCGCGGAGGGGCGTCACGCCGTGTTCTTCCCTTTCCCGGCGCAGGGCCATGTGAAGGCGGCGCTCGGCCTGGCCCAGCTCCTCCACCGTTGCCATGGCTTCCAGGTCACCTTCGTCCACACCGCCGAGCACAACCGCCGCCGCCTCCTCCGCTCGCGCGGCCTCGGTGCGCTCGCGGGGGTCTCCGGGTTCCGCTTCGCCGCCGTCCCGAACGGCCTGCCCCCGTCCGAGGCGGACGCGTCGCAGGACATGGGCGCCCTGCTGTCCACCACGGAGGTCTTGATGTTGGAAATATGAGCAAATTACTACGAGATTTAATCCAAATAAACAGAAGATAAATCATGACCACAGCAGTAAAGATTAAACTAATCATGCGAACTAGCATAGCAGATGAATATATCACATCTAGGGCACATACTAGAAGCATGAATTCTACCACGATCTCGAACAGGAAGGATAGAATCACATACGGTGCAGCGGGTGCAGCACCGCCGGCGTTAACGTTGTCGCCCATATCGTCGAGAACGAGGTTGCCGAGGTCGGGGAAGAAGTCGTCGTTCGCGAAGTCGTCGCTGCCAGCAGTCGCGTGAGTGCGCTCCCCAAAAACCTGATCGCCCCTCTCCCGTACAGGATCACGAGAGGCGGGGTTCCGGAGGCCTGCTGTCCCTTCTCGCGGTGCACGCCGGAAGGAGGGATGGAGAAGACTTGCTTGGCGGCGCAATGATCTGGAACGGTGGCGCGGCTCAATCCCGCAACCCGCGGCGCGTCGCGTCGCGGCGTGGCGAGGCGAGCTAGGAGGAGGAGCGCGCGTGTAGGTCTCCTCTTCTCATGCTCATACAAGTGGTAGAAGAGCTCACCTTATAAAGAGGTGCAACTCTCTCTCAACTTCCGGGGTGGGACTAAACTTTAGCCTCACTCACTCCACTCACATGTGTGCATGAATGGACCAAGAGAATTTTAGAATTTTAGTTGGGCTTTGGGCCAAAGGCCTACTAGCAAAATTCCAATAATCCCCCACAAAATCTCATTGGCACATCTCATCATTTAGTTTCAAAACGTCGTTTTATATATCGGTGCTTAGTGGAGACTGTGAAGTTAAACTTCCACTTAGAAATTTATGCTACACTAGATCACAACTTGAATAGTGGACTATGCCTTGAACTACAAGTTTTCTGTAAAACTAGTTTCACACAAATTCTTGATCGATACTGGGCTGCCGCAAGGCTTCCCTGCGGGTGGAGCGTATACGTCATACTCCAGGGCCTTTCATGAACTTATTAGAGAAGACCCAATTCTCACATACTGCGACGTTAACAGTCAAATTCATATAGGTGTGTTCCTCAGAAGATGTTCTGCAGGACAACATCTCTGCTTACCCGAATAAGCCACTTGGAACACATTAAGATAAGTATCAACCTGCCATGCAGATCAGGAGAGTATTGCATCTTCACGGAGTGGGATAATTAATATAGGGATACTCTCCTCCCAGCTGACCAACAGCTTGTCTCCCACTTCTACTTCACGGGATCTCCGATCACATAGAGTGGTTTACCACTATGGACAACTCATGCGGTGGGTCTCAAACCCATCTCCATCGATGCATTATCTATCATATTACGTGATAGACCCTTTGTGAAGGGATCTGCCAAGTTTTTCGACGTTTGGATATAATCCAACGTAATAACTCCGGAGTTTCTCAATTTTCTGACAGATTTTAGTCTCCTCTTCACATGCCTTAAGGACTTCATATTGTTCTTAGAACTGTTTATCTTGACGATCACAGTTTGATTATCATAGTTCATCAGGATAGAGGGTATCGGTTTTTCAACCATAGGTAAGTCCATCAAGAGTTCACGAAGCCACTCTGCTTCAACAGTGGCAGTGTCTAATGTCGTGAATTCTGATTCCATAGTTGACCTCGTTAAGATGATCTGCTTGCAAGACTTCCAGGAAACAGCGCCACCACCAAGTGTAAAAACATAACCACTTGTGGCCTTAATCTCATCAGCATCAGATATCCAGTTTGAGTCACTATAACCCTCCAGTACCCTTGGATACCCGGTGTAGTGAATCTCATAGCTCGCGGTGCCTTTCAAATAGCGCATAACTCTCTCAAGCGCATGCCAATGATCATCTCCCGGTTTTGACACAAACTGACTCAGCTTGCTCATAGCAAAAGAGATGTCAGGCCTCGTGGCACTCGCCAAATACATAAGCGAGCCAATAATCTGAGAATACCTTAGTTGATCTCTAGCAATCCGTCGATTCTTTCGAAGCAACACACTAGCATCATATGGAGTTGGAGAAGGCGTGCAGTCTCTATACCCAAAACGACTCAAGACCTTTTCCACATAATGAGACTGAAGCAGTGTGATCCCACCATTCTCATCTCTCAACAGCTTGATGTTTAAGATAACATCAGCTACTCCTAGATCCTTCATCTCAAAACAGCGAGATAAGAAATCCTTAACCTCCTTGATTAAATCAAGTTTGGTTCCAAAGATCAATATATCGTCGACATACAGACAAAGAATAATTCCTTCACCCCCACCTTAGCGATAGTACACGCACTTGTCACCATCGTTTACTACAAAGCCGGCAGCAGTTAATGTTCTTTCGAACTTCTCATGCCACTCCTTAGGAGCTTGTTTAAGGCCATATAAAGACTTTAATAACTTGCACACCTTTCCTTCTTGACCAGGTACTACAAAACCATCTGGCTGATCCATGTAAATTTCCTCCTTCAACTCTCCATTAAGGAAAGCCGTCTTAACGTCCATTTGATGAACGAGAAGACCATGTGAGGCAGCCAGTGATAGTAGCACCCGAATTATGGTCAGTCTAGTCACGGGTGAGTAAGTATCAAAAAAGTCTTCACCTTCTTTCTGGGTATAACCCTTGGCCACAAGCCGTGCCTTGTACTTTTCAATCGTACCATCAGGTCTAAGCTTCTTCTTGAACACCCACTTACATCCTACAGGTTTGCATCCATAAGGACGGTCAGTGATCTCCCAGGTACTGTTAGCTAAGATGGAATCCATCTCGCTACGTACAACTTCCTTTCAGTAGTCAGCATCAGGAGATGCATAGGCTTCTGAAATAGTCCTGGGTGTGTCATCCACGAGGTACACAATGAAATCATCACCAAAAGACTTTGCAGTCATATGTCTCTTACTCCTCATAGGAGTTCCATTGTTACCCTCAATAGGATTCTCAACGTGTTCCATCGCAATGGTGGGTTCAGGAATTACAGTGAATTCCTCACTAGATGGAGTAGGTATCTCCTGATTTGATGAACTCGACATATCCTTCATAGGAAATATGTCCTCAAAGAAAGTTGCATCATTTGATTCCATAATCGTACCAACATGCATGTCGGATACCTCAGATTTTATTATCAAAAATCTATAGCCGATGCTATGAAAAGCATAGCCCAGAAGAACACAATCCACGGTTTTTGGTCCAAGCTTGCGCTTCTTGGGAATTGGTATATTGATTTTCGCCAAACAACCCCAAGTACGTAGGTAAGAGAGTTTCAACCTTTTCCTTTCCCATTCCTCAAATGGAGTCATGGTCTTATGCTTTGTGGGAACTCGGTTTAGGACATGACACGCAGTCATTAGCGCCTCCCCCCACCATTTCTTGGATAGACTCGAAGTGTCTAACATGGTGTTAACCATATCAGTTAGAGTTCGGTTCTTTCTTTCGGCTACCCCATTTGACTGGGGTGAGTAGGGAGGCGTCCTCTCATGGATTATACCATGTTCCGCACAAAACAGATCAAATTCATTGGAAAAATACTCTCCACCACGATCGGACCTAAGCCGTTTAATTTTTCGATCAAGTTGGTTCTCTGCCTCAGCTTTATAGTTTTTAAAGAAAGTCAAAGCCTCATCTTTTGATTTCAGAAGATACACATAATAATATCTAGTGGAGTCATCAGTCAACGTCATGAAGTATCTCTTTCCACCTTTTGTCGACACGCCATTCATCTCACAAGGATCAGAATGTATAAGCTCAAGTGGCGCCAAGTCTCTTGCCTCTGCAGTCTTATGGGACTTGGGAGGTTGCTTAGCTTGCACACATACTTGGCACTTGGAGCCTTTGACAATAGAGATTTTCGGAATTAAATTCATATTGGCTAACCGCGTCATGCAACCAAAGTTAATATGACAGAGTCGTGAATGCCAAATATCAGACTCATTATTGTGGCAAACATTATTAATAACTTTAGTGCAAATATCTGATAAAGATAGGCGGAACAAGCCTCCGCACTCATAGCCTTTTCCAACAAATTGTCCACACTTAGAAATTACAACTTTATTGGATTCGAAAACCAACTTAAAACCATCTCGACATAAACGGGAACCGCTAACGAGATTTTTATTGATGGACGGCACATGATGAACGTTCTTCAGACGCGCAGTCTTCCCCGAAGTAAACTTCAGATCGACCGTACCAACACCTCGAACGATGGCATGTGACTCGTTCCCCATCAGCACGGGTGAAGTCCCTGTTGCCTGGTAAGAAGAAAACATGGAGGCGTCAGCACAAACATGTACATTGGCACCGGTGTCAATTAACCAATCAGGGGATTGAAATACTGAAAGGATGGTAGGAAAAATACCGTACCCTGATTCCTTCATATCAGTATCACCGATGACAACATTAGCGGACTTGCCGCTCTTCTCATGTTCGCGCTCCTCAAAGCGGTTAGGACACTTCAGAGCCCAGTGATTAGGATCACCGCAGACATGGCAAAGTCCCTTCCCCTTCTTATGAGAATTCTTCTTGAAGTTGGTAGAATGTGATGGCTTGTTCTTTGTATCAAACTTGCCTTTGCCCTGAGTTTTGTTCTTATTGTTTTTGAACTTGTTGGGCTGGGAGTTCTTCTTCTGTACCATGTGGGCACTAGAACCTCCCTCAGCAACTCGAGCACGTGTGTCCTTTGCTCTCGCCTTCTCTTCAACATCAAGAGTACCAATGAGATCCGCAACGGAAAACTCATGTCTCTTGTGTTTCAGGGAAGTAGCAAAATTGTTTCACGAAGGTGGAAGCTTGGCAATGATGCCTCCGGCAACAAATTTGTCCGGCAACACACACTTGAAGTACTCAAGTTCTTTTGCGAGCGACTGTATCTCATGAGCCTGCTGTACAACAGGGCGCTCATCAGTCATCTTGTAGTCATAGAATTGCTCCATGACGTACAACTCGCTGCCGGCGTCCAAGGCACCAAACTTGGCCTCGAGCGCAGCCCACATGTCCTTGCCGTTGTCAAACGACATATACGAATCCACAATGAAGTCATCAAGAACACTCAGAAGAGCGCCTTTAAAGAGGGTATCGATCTTCTCAAAAGCTTTCAGCTGTGCTGGATTAAGATCGCCCTCAGGCTTGCCCTTGGTGGCATCATAGCAGCCCATGGTCTGAAACCAGTAGACTGCTCTCGTGCGCCACCTCTTATATTGCGCCCTTTTAAAGGCAGGCGGCTTCATATGCGCAGCAAAACCACTCGGAGTAAATTGCCTATAATTAGGTTTTTGGATTGTTGAAAATATGAGCAAATTACTACGAGATTTAATCCGAATAAACAGAAGATAAATCATGACCACAGCAGCAGAGATTAAACTAATCATGCGAACTAGCATAGCAGATGAACATATCACATCTAGGGCACATACTAGAAGCATGAATTCTACCACGATCTCGAACAGGAAGGATAGAATCACATACGGTGCAGCGGGTGCAGCACCGCCGGTGTTGACGTTGTCGCCCATGTCGTCGAGGACGAGGTTGCCGAGGTCGGGGAAGAAGTCGTCGCTGCCAGCAGTCGCGCGAGTGCGCTCCCCAAAAACCTGATCGCCCCTCTCCCGTAGAGGCGGGGTTTCCTTCTCGCGGTGCACGCCGGAAGGAGGGATGGAGAAGACTTGCTTGGTGGCGCAATGATCTGGAACGGTGCACGCCGGAAGGAGGGATGGAGAAGACTTACTTGACGGCGCAATGATCTGAAACGGTGGTGAGAAACCATACGAAGCGGCGGCGGCTAGGGTAGACGTCTGCCTGACTATATAGTGCGGGCCGGGTAGGTCGTGGGAATAAACCCCACGTCCGAGTCGTCACGATCCAAAAGAATCGGAAACGGTTCAGTAATTAACGCATCCGTTAATTATTAATTAGCTCTGTCCTCGGCTCGGCTCAATCCCGCAACCCGCGGCGCGGCGCGGCGAGCGAGGAGGAGCGCGCGTGTAGGTCTCCTCTTCTCATGCTCATACAAGTGGTAGAAGAGCTCACCTTATAAAGAGGTGCAACTCTCTCTCAACTTCCGGGGTGGGACTAAACTTTAGCCTCACTCACTCCACTCACATGTGTACATGAATGGGTCAAGAGAATTTCAGAATTTTAGTTAGGCTTTGAGCCAAAGACCTACTAGCAAAATTTCAACACCTGGTCCCGCACTTGAGGAGCCTCGTCGCCGGCCTGCTCCCGCCCGTGTCCTGCGTCATCTCCGACGTCGAGCACGTCCTGTATGGGTCCAGGGAAATGGGTACCCCCTGCGTCACCTTCTTCACGACCAGCGCGTTCGCCTTCATGGCGTCCCAGCAGTTGTAGCGGCTCGTGGATATAGGCATTGTCCTAAACGCAACGGCGTGCCACAGGACCACTCCGTCCGCCATCATCTTCCACACCTTCGACGACATCGACCACGAGGCCATGGCGGCCATGTCCACCATCCTGCCACCCACCTACGCCGTCGGGCCGTTGCCGCTCCTCCTCGGCCATGTCTCTAGCGGCGTGGCTGACACGCTGGAATCCAACTTGTCCAAGGAGAACAACGCCAGCCTAGAGTGGCTGGAGGGCAAGCGGCCAGACCCGGTGCTGTACGTGAGCTTCGGGAGCATCACGACGCTCACGAGCATCACGTGGGGTCTGGACAACAGTAAAATGGATTTCCTGTGGGTGCTGCCACCGAAGTTCCTGGAGGAGACGAAGGCGAGGAGCCACGTGACGAGCTGGTGCCCGCAGGAGGCGGTGCTCCGGCACGAGGCGACGGGCGCGTTCCTGACGCACTGCGGGTGGAACTCGGTCCTGGAGAGCCTCAGCGCCGGGGTGCCGATGCTGTGCTGGCCCTTCGGCGCCGATCAGTACACGAACGCAAGGTACGTCTGCTCCGAGTGGCGCGTCGGCATGGAGATCGGCGGCGATGTCGAGAGGGATGAGGTGGAGGCGGCCGTCCGGGAGGTGATGGGAGGAGGGGGCAAGGGAGAAGAGATGAAGAGAATGGCCATGGAATGGAAGGAGAAGGCTGCCATGGCTGCACTGCCAGGTGGGCCATCTTGGGTAAATCTGGAGAAGGTGGTCAATGAGGTGCTTAGTGTGGCTCCTGCGAGGAATATGGATGTGGAATTATGACTAGGCTCGTGCTTGGTCTACACTGGCAATAAATTGATGAAAAGGTTGTGATCCATCACCTTTGTCCAAACTTAATATGGATTGTCCATTTGTCAAGAAAATAAATGTGGGTTAGGTGATCCATTATGTTAGTACTTCCTCCATCCCAAAATAAATGACTCAACTTTGTACTAGCTTTAGTATAAAGTCAAGTCACTTATTTTGGGACAGAGGGAGTACTACGTAGTACTCCCTCAATTTTTATTTACTTTGCATATTAGAGTTGACTGAAGTCAAACTTCCTAAAGTTTGACCAAGTTTATAAAAGAAAATATAAATATTTACCATAACAAATTTATACTATGTGGAAGTACATTTAATAATGAATCTAATACTGTTGATTTCTTATTGTATATGTTAATATTTTTGTTTACAAACTTTGTCAAAGTTTATAAAGTTTGACTTTGACCAAAGCTAATATGCGGAGTAAATAAAAACGGAGGGAGTACTACTACAATAGTGATCACTCAACTACACTCTTCAATGTAGCATGATTCATTTGGTATTTTGGTACCACTGAACATTGCGGTTTGTATTGTAATCCATCCCTTCTATAGCCCAACTAAAGGTTCGGAGGGTACCCTAGAGGCTACACATTTGCATCCCTAGCCGTTTGTCGCTCCTTACTAAGCATCGAAGTGCCACCATGTTTCTGGACACATGACAGTACTCCTCTGGTATCAAAGACACGAGTTTTGCTGCTATACACATTCTATTTTTATATATAAGTGCTTGCGGTATCAAACTAAACCGCCGCAGCGGGATGCAAATGTCTTTCACTTTATAAGGATGCATCTGATCGGCGAACCTTCAGCTCCACGCAACCGAAGTGGCAGGCAATGCAACGAGTATATCCCAGGTATGACATTCTCCAGTTTGAGGCCCTCCACAAGAATGATATCCTGAAAGGAACCAAAGAACAGCAAAATATCAGGTATATGGTGTTTTATCCGTCTAGAGATCAACTGTATGATGCCCAGCGTGGTGGCTAGTGCCAAGTACCCGCACGGAGTAATACTCCATATGAAAGAACACAGGTACAAAGATTCTAGCTGGCCTCTTCGAAACTTGTTAGATCAATGTGAGCCAACAGGCATGTTGAGAGGCCACAATTTTTTTTGTCACTGACCCCAAATTTAGAAAGGTCGACCAGGAATTTTAACGGTCCTAATCTATCGAGGGTAGGGAAGAGGAGTGTCATCTAGGGAAGAAGTAACATAGAAGGACCTCCTTCAACGAATCATTAATCACGCTGCTCTTGATAAGGACTTCACTACTTTCGTGGATCAATATCGACAATATGGCTCAAATATTCTTCATTTTACTAGTGAACATCCGATTCTTCGTTTAAAATTACTGTTGGAGACTGCTTGTTCAGATTACTGGAAACGCAAGGAAAATGAAGTTCGGAGCACAGGGCAAAAACAGAAGGTACAATAAGAAAAGAGAGAAAAGAACCAAACATAATCAAATACAGTAAATATGAACTAAACAAAATTATTCCAAAGAAGTATCTTCGTACCCGGTTTTCAAGTAAAACTAAATGTGAAGGGATCAAGTCATTGAAAGCTGCAACGGACAAATAGTCTATTCCTGCAAAAACATGACAACAAAAGTTTCTTTTTTGAGAATAAACGTGAAGAGATAAATATAAATAGAAGAGTTAATGCAGGACAAATCATTTAACCTGTCCAAGATGTAGAAGTTTGTACTGAAGGGCTGATGCGTAAGGAGCAACTAACAGGAACACAAATGGCAAAAAGGAATTGGATGGAGCAGAAGGAATACAATGATAATGAGACCATGGTCCAGGGGCTATGGAATGACAGGGTGCATGGTGTGTGGAGCACTGGATGCGTCAAAACATGACGCTTCCAATCCAGGTATGCAAAATGCTAATGGTGCAAACAGAAACCACTATATTTCAGACCAATGACACACAGACCCAGACAGTAATCAAGTGCACAAACTTAACATAGTTGCATACAGAACTAAGTAAAATACTAGTGTCATAGATACAATTAAGGACCTCATAAAAGGATGCAAAGGTCGTTGGAACTCACCGACAAGCTTAATATCCGTGTTGTCTACCAACCATTGGGCACCATCTTTCATAAAACCCACATAGCTTGTGTCAAACTCTTTCTTCCACATTAGGTTCCTGCATGACAACAGTAACTGAATTTACTTTCCCAATTTGTCACATTTCGCTCTACAGTTCGGCATAGTAAAGCACTTGGCGCATTAATTTACTTCAAGAAATTGCATAATGGATTAAAACAGAGGATACAAGATGTTCTATAGAGAAAACTATTGAGGGGTTGTACGAATCCAAAAGCACGTGATTAGGCCGAAGGAAGCCAGATACAGGAAAAAATTACTGGTTCTGCTGGTTTGCTCATTCATTTTACATATTCCCAGATTGATAAAGGTGGGCCCTGAAAATACACGCCAAGGCTCCGGTCAATGAATATTATGCACTTTGGTTGCTCAAATAGCAGAAAGGGGGGGGGGGGGTCTAGAAGGCTGAAAATGCCCGATAGATATATCGATAAGTGAAAGGTCCATCCCGCTGAAGATGTCTTGTCTACAAAAGGATAAGTAGGTATGCAATGTACCCATTCAAGGTGCAGTCACCGTATCTTCTGGATGGATACAAATTGCAATGAAGACAAATTCGGTGGCATCAAGGGAATTATTTGAAGTTTTTCCCTAACCGAGGATGCAATCATGCAACAAAGTAATCATCACTCTAATACAAAGTGACATGCGGTTGGCGCGTGTTCGAGAAAAAAAGAAAGCAAACATCACTTGTTTGCATCTACCAAAGATGCTTTTTTGCAGTAGATGCACACCTTTGGATTGGCATTTTCTATACAACGAAATCCTCTATCAATTTGCTAGGCGAAGTGGCAAGGGAGTAATGTAAATCGTCAGAATTTAAAGCACCCCAGATCTTCTAGAGCAAACTATTTTCTTTCTGACCACAAGAAGACAGAGGCCATATACTACCATATAGGAAGTAGAAAACAAATTACTTCTCATAGTTACTTCGTAGCAGTTGGTTCATGTATTGTTGATGAATATCTCAGCTCAACCTCTTTCCGAATATCAGACATAATATAAGTCAACAATAAACACTGTGTCAAATCATTCAAAATAGGTACAGAGCCGTATCAAATGCTAAATATAATTTGAGTGTAAACATCCACACACACACACACACACACACACACACACACACACACACAGAGTTTTGGATGGCAGATAAAGCGGAGGGTCTTAAGAAGGCTAGGTTTTCGAACATGCAACGAGGTTACTCAGAAAGTTACCCACTTATGTGATGCTAAGGCCTCCTGGATCTAGTCCTTTACTTTGTTAAGTATGGCAAAAGGTTTTTGAACATGAAGTTCGAATGATGGCACTTAAATTTTAGTTTGCACTAGATGTTTGTCTGAGCGTAACATGAAAAGGTGTTCACATCAAAAATCTGTAAGCATGATTACCACAAATGAGCAGACAATTGGGTTAAGATTCATTACCTGTCAGTGTTTAATGTTCTAAAAAGTACCCGTTGAACTCCTTTAGGAATATGCAAAGATTCCATCGTTTTAGCTGCAATGATAGATCAATTCAATATGCAGATTCCATGTCTAATTAAACAGATATTAAGGTATTAAATCAGACTTCGCCAAACATTAGTTAGACAAGTTTTACTTCCTGTCGCCAGTAGCTAAATACAAAATCAATTGTTTTATACAAGTTTGACTTCTTTGACACATTTCCTTGGTCATGTAGCCCACCTTTCATAGACTCATGCTTTTTCTAAAACTTGCATAAGGTCTGACCACCTATTTGTTGGCCACAAATGACTTAGCCAATCACACTCAATCAACATAATAATCCACAGCAAGCAAATAGTTAGGCTAAGTAAACAACACTAGCCTTTTTACGACACTAACAAATAAGCGGTTGGCATGAATAATACAAAATTTACCAGTAATATTTTCATCCCTTGGAACATCAACCAGCAGTGCAGGACCTAATAACACAAAATCAGTTGTTAGAACGGTATAAAACAATTGCATATACGTGTACGTACATCTAATTGTAACCCTGTGAGTAACGATTCAGATGTACACATCGTATGCTACATAATGCCTTTTCTTCCAATAATGGCATGTTCAATATGCAGTATCACTCATTTTTGCAAGCCTGAGGAGTGAGCTATGATCGTGTACACGCAATGCTTAAAAAAGGCTTATGTTACTCAACAACAGTTAACATGGAAATTTAGCCGACTAAGTAAGAAAATGTTTGAAGCACTGGAACAGAGCTCTTATAGACTGGATGGTATCAACACTTTTAATCAAGAAAGTAAGGAACCATGACATAGCAACCTTTTCAGTTTCTCCAGTACCCCTCCCTCCTCTGTCCCAGAATAATGTGATATTTCTAAAAATTCCCTATGGAGCTAGTCTCACTCTCACTCTCACCAGGAATTTTCAGGTGGTATATTTTAGTGAACGGAATGGCTTTCACAGGAAATATTTTTTGGGCGATCATGTTATAGATGTTCTGCCGATGGCCTTCAATCTCCCAACGAGAAGAGTAACGAAGCAGCAGAGTAGAGTTGCCATAATCTGCCTAACTTGCAACATCTGCATCGAAGACATGTCGTTCAATTCAGACAAATCTCAATCCCAAAAAACGAGTTCACACAGCAATTTGTTACAGGCCTCCGATAGCATGTAACCCAATCTCTGCCTGGCAACGCAAACATCCAACAGACGGACACGTTCGGAACGGCCACCGCTTCACTGTTAGTAGTACTACGGAAATTGCTATGGAATAAAAAAAGGAAAAAAGGGGAGGAGGCGGCGGCGGCGGCGGCGGCGGGGTGAGCTCACCGTTGAGGACGTCGAGGTCGAGGGTGTCGACGTCGAAGCCAGCGTCGAAGTAGTGCTGGAAGACGTGGCCGGGGGCGTCGACGTGGGTGCCGGTGTGGGTGGGCATCCGCATCTCGGAGTTGTTGGCGAGGGAGCCGTTGCGCATGGAGGCGGGCAGCCAGAGGAACTGGCCCACCCCGGCGCCGGACTCCCACGAGGGCATGTCCTCCCGGTAGTAGTGGGTGATGTCCAGGATGCGGCCCCCGCCGTGCGCCTCCCGGCGCTCCGGCGCCAGCACGGGCTCCGCGGCGCACGACGCCGGCTGGCTCGGGTGGGCCGGGTGGGCGCACGGTGCGGTGGCGGCGACGAGAGGGACGAGGAGGAGGAGGAGGAGGGGAGGCGCCATTTGGGGCGTCGGGGATCAGTTGCTCCTCTCCCTCGGTGTCGTGGATAGGTGCGGGTTATTCGGCGGTGGTGTGCTGCTTCAGTTTTTGAAGCACATTTTACTTCAGCTTGATTTCTGCTGAACTGCTTAGGCACATTTTTGATTTGCATATTGGAGTACTCGTTCGCTCGTAATTTACCGTGCTTTAGGCATGACACCCTCTCTGGTATCCTCTTTGTTTCTGGCATTTTCTATTCTTCAGTTGTTTGATTTTCTTTTCATAGATGGATGGAGCGGTGGCTGTCGTGGTTTGCTGCCAAAAATTGGCATGCCAATGTTTGGCATTGTGCCAAATATTGGCAACTACTTGGTTGGCTACGAGTTGTTTTGTCTATTTCACATAAAATTGTTAATAGTTGGCAAGTCTCGGTATTGCTAATAGTTGGCATTAATTTGGCAAGTCAAATGTTGATAGAAACCAATTATGCTCATAATTCTCTGCTCCCTTCATTTTTATTTACTCTGCATATTAGACTTGATTGAAGTCAAATTTTCTAAAGTTTGACCAATTTTTTTTAAAAAAAGTACAAACATTTTCTATAAAAAATCTATATGATGTGAAAGTACATTCAATAATAAATCTAATGGTATAGATTTGTTATTGTATATGTTAATATTTTTGTTTATATATTTGATCAAAGTTTATAAAGTTTGACTTTGATTAAAGCTAATATGCGGACTAAATAAAAACGGAAGGAGTACTCTGTACCACCATCTTTTCATATTAAGTGTCACTTAAATCGATGTGTCTATACTGAGCACATATCACTAGAAGCAGTTGAGGCCACTGATTTGATTTCCCACATCAATTTTAACTCGGTTCTCTCAAGGTGAGCTAGGATGCGTTAGCTGGCCCGTTTCGTGGGCCTTTTTTGTCGGTGGTGTGGAGCCATGGACCCGGTTGTAGCTGAGTGGGAAGCTAGGTCTTTTTCTGCTTGATAGTTCTCTTGCTTGACTATTTTTTTTTAGCAGCGCTTTGTTATCGACGGGAACGTCTCCTCCCATTAAAAGGTAGGGCTGCAAACGAGTTGAGCTTGAGCGAGTTGGAGTTGGCTCAGCTCAACTTATATGAAAATTCGAGCGAGCTCAAACTAAGTGAAGCTCATGATCGAGCTGTAGAATATGACTCGTGCTCAGCTTGTAACGATCTCGAGTCAATTTTAAGCTAGTTTCGAGCTAAATGAGATGGTAAAAATTATAAATTTATGAATAAAAAACAAAAAATTAAGGTGAATATGCTCGAAACCTTTGCCAAAAATATAGGATATTTAACACATAGTCGACTGTTGGGGAACGTAGTAATTTCAAAATTTTCCTACGCACACGCAAGATCATGGTGATGCATAGCAACGAGAGGGGGAGAGTGTGATCTACGTACCCTTGTAGATCGACAACGGAAGCGTTAACTTGGTTGATGTAGTCGTACGTCTTCACGGCCCGACCGATCAAGCACCGAAACTACGGCACCTCCGAGTTCTAGCACACGTTCAGCTCGATGACGATCCCCGGACTCCGATCCAGCAAAGTGTCGGGGAAGAGTTCCATCAGCACGACGGCGTGGTGACGATCTTGATGTACTACCGTCGCAGGGCTTCGCCTAAGCACCGCTACAATATTATCGAGGACTATGGTAGAAGGGGGCACCGCACACGGCTAAGAATATGACCACGTGGATCAACTTGTGTGTCTAGGGGTGCCCCCTGCCCCCGTATATAAAGGAGCAAGGGGAGGAGGCCGGCCGGCCCTATAGGCGCCCCAAGGAGGAGTCCTCCTCCTAGTAGGAGTAGGACTCCTACTAGGAGGGGAAGGAAGTGGGGAGGGAGAGGGAAAGGGGGGGCGCCGCCCCCCCTCTCCTAGTCCAATTCGGACCAGGGGGAGGAGGCGCGCGGCCCACCTTTGGCTGCCCCTCTCTCTCCACTAAGGCCCATATGGCCCATTACTTCTCCCGGGGGGTTCCGGTAACCCTCCGGCTCTCCGGTTTTCTCCGAAATCACCCGGAACACTTCCGGTGTCCGAATATAGCCGTCCAATATATCAATCTTTATGTCTCGACCATTTCGAGATTCCTCGTCATGTCCGTGATCACATCCGGGACTCCGAACTAACTTCGGTACATCAAAAACTCATAAACTCATAATATAACTGTCATCGAAACCTTAAGCGTGCGGACCCTACGGGTTCGAGAACAACGTAGACATGACCGAGACACGTCTCCGGTCAATAACCAATAGCGGAACCTGGATGCTCATATTGGCTCCTACATATTCTACGAAGATCTTTATCGGTCAGACCGCATAACAACATACGTCGTTCCCTTTGTCATCGGTATGTTACTTGCCCGAGATTCGATCGTCGATATCTCAATACCTAGTTCAATCTCATTATCGGCAAGTCTCTTTACTCATTCTGTAATACATCATCCCGCAACTAACTCATTAGTTGCAATGCTTGCAAGGCTTAAGTGATGTGCATTACCGAGAGGGCCCAGAGATACCTCTCCGACAATCGGAGTGACAAATCCTAATCTCGAAATACGCCAACCCAACATGTACCTTTGGAGACACCTGTAGAGCTCCTTTATAATCACCCAGTTACGTTGTGACGTTTGGTAGCACACAAAGTGTTCCTCTGGTAAACGGGAGTTGCATAATCTCATAGTTATAGGAACATGTATAAGTCATGAAGAAAGCAATAGCAACATACTAAACGATTGGGTGCTAAGCTAATGGAATGGGTCATGTCAATCAGATCATTCAACTAATGATGTGATCCCGTTAATCAAATAACAACTCTTTGTCCATGGTTAGGAAACATAACCATCTTTGATTAACGAGCTAGTCAAGTAGAGGCATACTAGTGACACTCTGTTTGTCTATGTATTCACACATGTATTATGTTTCCGGTTAATACAATTCTGACATGAATAATAAACATTTATCATGATCTAAGGAAATAAATAATAACTTTATTATTGCCTCTAGGGCATATTTCCTTCAGTCTCCCACTTGCACTAGAGTCAATAATCTAGATTACACAGTAATGATTCTAACACCCATGGAGCCTTGGTGTTGATCATGTTTTGCTCGTGGAAGAGGCTTAGTCAACGGGTCTGCAACATTCAGATCCGTATGTATCTTGCAAATCTCTATGTCTCCCACCTGGACTAGATCCCGGATGGAATTGAAGCGTCTCTTGATGTGCTTGGTTCTCTTGTGAAATCTGGATTCCTTCGCCAAGGCAATTACACCAGTATTGTCACAAAAGATTTTCATTGGACCCGATGCACTAGGTATGACACCTAGATCAGATATGAACTCCTTCATCCAGACTCCTTCATTTGCTGCTTCCGAAGCAGCTATGTATTCCGCTTCACACGTAGATCTCGCCACGACGCTTTGTTTAGAACTGCACCAACTGACAGCTCCACCGTTTAATGTAAACACGTATCCGGTTTGCGATTTAGAATCGGCTGGATCAGTGTCAAAGCTTGCATCAACGTAACTGTTTACGTGTTGGAAATATGCCCTAGAGGCAATAATAAAAGCATTATTATTATATTTCCTTATTCATGATAATTGTCTTTATTCATGCTATAATTGTATTATCCGGAAATCGTAATACATGTGTGAATAATAGACACCAACATGTCCCTAGTAAGCTTCTAGTTGACTAGCTCGTTGATCAACAGATAGTCATGGTTTCTTGACTATGGACATTGGATGTCATTGATAACGAGATCACATCATTAGGAGAATGATGTGATGGACAAGACCCAATCCTAAACATAGCATGAGATCGTATAGTTCGTTTGCTAGAGTTTTCCAATGTCAAGTATCTTTTCCTTAGACCATGAGATCGTGTAACTCCCGGATACCGTAGGAGTGCTTTGGGTATACCAAACGTCACAACGTAACTGGGTGACTATAAAGGTATACTACGGGTATCTCCGAAAGTGTCTGTTGGGTTGACATGGATCAAGACTGGGATTTGTCACTCCACATGACGGAGAGGTATCACTGGGCCCACTCGGTAATGCATCATCATAATGAGCTCAGAGTGACCAAGTGTCTGGTCACGGGATCATGCATTACGGTACGAGTAAAGTGACTTGCCGGTAACGAGATTGAACGAGGTATTGGGATACCGACGATCGAATCTCGGGCAAGTAACATATCGATTGACAAAGGGAATTGTATACGGGGTTGCTTGAATCCTCGACATCGTGGTTCATCCGATGAGATCATCGTGGAGTATGTGGGAGCCAACATAGGTATCTAGATCCCGCTGTTGGTTATTGACCGGAGAGTCGTCTCGGTCATGTCTACATATCTCCCGAACCCGTAGGGTCTACACACTTAAGGTTCGGTGACGCTAGGGTTGTAGGGATATGTATATGCAGTAACCCGAATGTTGTTCGGAGTCCCGGATGAGATCCCGGACATCACGAGGAGTTCCAGAATGGTCCGGAGGTAAAGAATTATATATAGGAAGTGCTATTTCGGCCATCGGGACAAGTTTCGGGGTCACCGGTATTGTACCGGGACCACCGGAAGGGTCCCGGGGGTCCACCGGGTGGGGCCACCTGTCCCGGGGGGGCACATGGGCTGTAGGGGGTGTGCCTTGGCCTACATGGGCCAAGGGCACCAGCCCCAAGAGGCCCATGCGCCTAGGGTTTCAAGGGAGGAAGAGTCCTAGGAGGGGAAGGCACCTCCTAGGTGCCTTGTGGAGGAGGGATTCCTCCCCCTTGGCCGCACCCCCCTAGGAGATTGGATCTCCTAGGGCCGGCGCCCCCCCCCTTGGCCCTTCTATATATAGTGGGGGAAGGAGGGCTTTTCATCCACGCCTTTGGTTGCCTCCTTCTCCCTCTCCAACACCTCCTCCTCCTCCATAGCGCTTGGCGAAGCCCTGCCGGAGTACTGCAGCTCCATCAACACCACGCCATCGTGCTGCTGCTGGTGCCA